TCCTGGCCACTGCAGGCAGACTATAGTGTGGCCGGGAGAGAACAAACTCTCCCAGGGAAGGGACTTGTGCCACCTCCACCACCCCCCTTTTCCTAGGACAACCCATTCCCTCCTTCTACACACACCTCGGCACAGTCGCCGGAGATTGCCATACCTGCATGAGCATGATATTGACAGTGGATCCTCCCCGCACCGAACTGGTTCCCCACGGATCAGTAGCTGTCCAGGATGGAGCGCTTCCAGTGGGCAATGGCAACACACTTCTGGAGGGGAATGGCGGGCCTCATATGTGTGTCCTGCCCCCCGCGGGCCAGAGCGAGCCACTCGCAGAGCTCCAGGAAGGAGTCCTTCTTCATCCTGAAGTTCTGGATCCATTCTTGGTCTCCCCAGTGCTCGAGGACTATGTGGTTCCACCATTCGGTACTGGTGTCCAGACGCCAGATGCAGCGGAGCACGTCAGTGTCCAGAAGGGTCTGGAAGAAGGCCTGTGGGTTGGGTTGCTGCAGATCCTGAGGCAGCCAGAAGAAAGTGCTGCCAGACTGCAGCTCTTGGACATGTTGCTGCAAGAGTGCCCATGGGCAGCTCTAGCTCCATGTTACAGAGCGCTGTGGTGTCCTGAGTGAGGGCAACCAGAGCACGCAGAGGAAAAAATGCTTTGCTGTCCCTCAGCGAGGTAGGCAAGCAAGTAGGGAAATCTAGAACCGGCTGTCCTAGGCGTCCCTTTAAGCTCGAGCCTCAGATAGCCTCAAGCAGCAGCCACACAAGGTAACTACTGACCTGATACCCTGCCAGAACTGGTTCTGGCCGGCCTACGTGCAATTCAGCATCCAATCAGTGTGAGCGCACTATTTCAAAATAGCAAAACACTATTTTGAAATGCATTTTGTGTGTAGATGCATTCTTTCAAAATAACGCTATAATGTAAACATACCCTGTGATAAAATAGGTTAAGTATGTAAACCAGCTTTTTTTTTTTTTTTTTGACGGAAGAGAAGCAAAGACCACCACACCACTGGAACATGTTCCACATCTCTCATTCTTGCAGATTTTCTGTCTTGACTGATATCTCTCTCAAAAACTCTGCTCCAGTCAGTCAATAGCAGCTTGCAAAGATGCTGACTTCTGAGTTCCTACAGGTCACTCAGCCCTCTCTTCACCCTGTTCCCACTTCTCCCATTAGCCCACCCTTCTTCTTGCCCCGTTCTGTCCCTTTCCCCAAGTGCACCCTACCTTCTTTCCGCCTCTTCCTGACCTCTCCCTCACTGAACAGCTAATCCTCAGTGGGCAGGAAGCACTGGGGAGAAGGATGAAGGCCAACCATTGGGTGCTGAGCATCCACTTTTTTTCACAGGTAGTCCAGCATCACAGCATCCACGGAGTCAGCACTTATGGCTACTGGCCTTTGGCTGGGGAAAAGTAAAGACTATCCCTATGTCTGGTCACTTGGCTAAAGAGTATTTTTCGTAATGGGATTTACCAATCTACCTATACTTGTCCCCCTTAGGGCAGTTTCTTTATGAGCCATAGCTGAAGGACAATCTGGCAGTGCCTATTAATTAAACGGTTTACTGGTCAGGACATATTCTCTTCCCCTTCTTTAGCAAAGAGGTTTAAACAGCTGGGAGTGAGGTGGGTATATTACTCACATTGTATTTGATAACAGTTTTAATATTTGGGGACTTTTACAAATTACAGGGGTTTATAACTGGTTATGTTTAAGGAGCTTGTCATTATTTCCTCAATAAAAATATTATGAACTAGTTTCAGTTGGATTGTCTTTAAAATTGTTTGCATTTTTTCTATTTATATTTTTAATTGCAAAGCCTTTCTAGACGTATGTGGCACTCCTTTCCATGGTATCTGATGAAAGTGCCAAAAATTTATTTTTTTTCTGGTAAATTGGGTAATGCTCACCCAGTAAGATTTAACTGTCACTTTGTGCCTTCAAAATGCTATAGATTTATTTTATTACCTCTCCCACCCACCCCCAGTGTTCATCTTATTTTATGCGGATGGGGAAGTCCCCCAATAAAAATGTCTAAGCTATATAGAGCCTATCTTATCTAGCTGTAGTAAAATGAAGTAGCAGTGAGCATGAAGTGTTCTAGATACAATTTTGCAAATTAGCACAGTAGACTTCAAATGTGACAGGACAAAATCAACATCTGTAACATTTCTATCATATATTAAAGAGACTAGTAATTGTATGATAAGAGAATAAAGCATAGCTGTAAGCATGTTTGCAAATTTTAGAGGTTCAAAAATATATTTTCCATTTTTTTTATCCTCCTATAGAATTAAAAAGCATATCTGGCCTAATGTTCCTGATCCTTCCAAAAGTAACATTGCTCAGTGGTCCCCTCAAACTCCAACTAAGGTAAGATTGAATCTTTATGATAGTACATAAAATATTTTAAGAATAAACTGACCAGTAGGAGCCTTTTAAATTGATATTGAAAAAGACCTTAGCTTTCCAACATGTTTATCCTAAAGTATAAGAGGAAAATTTTATCTGAGTATCATCAGTGTATTCAGCATTAGGCAGCAATGGTCCCTGTTACAAGGAACTAACAGAATCTAATTTGGGTTGTCAATATGTGTCTAGTTTAACATTTTCTAGGTTTAAGATAGACTGTGTGATTTTTCTTTGATTTACCTCAGTTGTGTTAATCATAAGTAACTAAGGGTATGTTTACATTTACCTCAGATCGAATCTAACGATTGATCCACCAGGGATCGATTTATTGGGCCTTGTGAAGGCCCCTAAATCAATCACTGATTGTGCTCCATCAACTCCGGTACTCTACCAGAATGAGAACAATGAGGTAAATCAGTGGGAGAGTTTTTCCCATTGACCCATTTCAGTGTAGTCACGGGTCACAATAACACTGACTCCAACCATGTTAACATAGCTGGAGCTATGTAACTTAGGACAACTTAACCCCAAATTATAGATCTGCCTACAGTAAAATCAATGGAATTGTTAAGTTTAGAATCCGTTTTTTTGGAGCAGTTTATATATATATATATAAAAAAAAATGAAACACAAATACAGAGGGGGGGGTTACAACAGATACTCACAGCTGCATCTTGAGTGCACAATACAACAAGTGGTGTGCTGCACAATAGTAGAGGAGAGGACATGCTAATCAAGGAACCAGAAAATTGCTGAGAGATATTTAATATGCCTATAGATGTGATAGCATCTGTTGTGAGATCTTAATCTGAAATACCTCTGCAGGACACAATGCATGGTGCTCCATTTATCCTAAGTATGACAGAAATGTAAGGTTAAGAGTATACACTCCATGAAACAGTGGCTCCCGGGAGTCTGTCTACTTATGACTTTGATACTTGGAAATGTAAATGTTGTAAATACTGACAAGGAACTGTCAAATTCTGCAGTAGGCAGAGCCTGTGGGAGTCTCAAAGCATAACTCTGTTGCCATCTATTGGCAACAACTGACTTTCTTCTTTTCTTTCAGCATAATTTTAGTTCCAAAGATCAGATATATCCAGAAGGCAGCTTCACTGACGTAAGCGTGGTTGAAATTGAAGCAGATGACAAGAAGTCTTTTTCAGACCAGGATCTAAAACACTTCAATTTACTTAAAAAGGAAAAAAGTACTTCAGAGGGGCACAGCAGTGGTATTGGAGGATCTTCATGCATGTCTTCTCCTCGGCAAAGTGTTTCCGATAGTGATGAGAGTGAAACAGCACAAAACACTTCAAGCACTGTACAGTATTCAACTGTCATTCTCAATGGCTACAGAGACCAGATTCCTTCAGTTCAAGTCTTTTCAAGGTCTGAATCCACCCAGCCACTGCTAGATTCAGAAGAGAAACCAGAAGATAACTCAGGAGGCTGTGACAGTGCAACTCCAAGGCAGCAGTATTTCAAGCAAAATTGTAGTCAGGATGAAACCAATACAGATGGGTCACATTTTGAAAGAGCAAAGCAAGTTACTCCTCCAATAAATGAGGAGGATCTTGTTGGGCTTGCACAACTGCAGATTTCAGATCACAGTTTACAGCAGTGTGGCTCTGGGCCAGAGCAAAATAAGCATGAATCTGCTTTGTCAGATGTGTTAAGTTCAAGTACTGAGGGTCAGATTTTGAGACTGGAAACGATGGGGATAAACACAGCAACAGTTGATGAGATACCAAAAAGTTACATGCCACAAACTGTAAGGCAAGGGGGCTATATGCCCCAGTAAGAACAGAGAGACTGCCTCTGTTAGGCCTTCACTAGTGCCTGATCCATTTCTTTTTTCCTTGTGTTTCTCATGAGTTAAGCTAACCAGTTTTATCTGATTTCAGATAAAAACATTCAGATTGATTTAGTGAAGAGAATTTGATGGAGAGTACAGGAGAGAACTATATTTCATTGGGATATTTCCAGTCCAGAATTACTGGTGATCCTATTCTAAGCACTACATAGACTGTCTTATTTGTCTGAATAATTGAACAGGTCCTTGTACTGCCTTGCTGTTTTGTTTGTCTTGTAATGTCATATTTAAACTTCACTGATTGAAAATAGCAGATTTTACTTTGTTCCATAGGCCAAAGGGGCATATAAGGCCAGGTCTACGTTGGCAGAGAAAATTGATGCAAGATACGCAACTCCAGCTACATAAATTACGTAGCTGGAATCAACATCCCTTTCTCTGATTTTTTGGAGCAGCCCCCCAGCAGAACATTATGAGAGAAATGCTCCCATCAATTTCCTTTGCTTCTCACTACAGCGAGGAGTACCACTGCTGATGAGGGCACCCCCAGGATTCGATTTAATGGGTCTTTACTAGACCTGCTAAATCAAACCCTGAAGGATTGATTACCAGCATGTCGATCCACTACCACGTCGAGATGTGCCCTAAAAGAAAAATACTAGAAGCATTCTGACATTGTGTGATATTAAGATGTCCTTTGAATAAGCTTGATTAGACAAAAGTGTGTTACTCCAAAAGTTTTTTTTTTTTTTAAATCGGGAATTACTTTAAAAAAAAATTTAGTCCACACGCATCCTTGACTAATTTCATTGACTTCAGTGAAGTTAGAAAAGAGATGAATTTGGCCTCATGTTTCTAATGTAGGAGCATCAGACTAAAAAGTGTTTTAGGCCTCATGTAAAGAACTAAAAACAAAGGACTGAAGGACTTGCAAGCCATTGTCACAAAGTGCAATCAAAATGCTAGCACTGCTTACCTTCCTATAAATGCTAGTCTAGTAGTCTGTTTTCTGGTGGCATTCTGCTTCTCTCTCTCTCTCTCTATATATATATATGTACAGACACGCACACAATCTCACTCGTATATAGAGTCTAGGCATAAAAATTACTTACCTTGTAATCTGAGCCAAATGCATGGCAACTGAAATTTCATATTGAGCATTAAAAACTTTGAAGGATAATGTAGGTAAGAAAAACTCCTCTGTAGGCGAAGTGTTTATTTAAAGATGAATAACTGTTTATCTCAAGTCACTGATTAAACGTATATCTTTGATTTAAAATTGCCCTTTTACATACAAAGTTTGGATGAGGAAAGATAGGAAGTATTAAAACATAATATTCTAAAATGAATTCTCGGGTTTAGATTTAATTTTTACAAATAATTTAGGGGAGGAAAATCACTTCTTTCCTTTTGCTTTACTACCAAGAGTGGGAATCTATGATTTCCATGCCACATTGTAATGAAGTCACTGAAACAAAAAGTGGCAAAAGAAAAACAATTCCTTGTTGTAGTAAGGCACTGATATTGCTGATATTTTGAGAAAAATCTAGAACCCTAAACTTGAAAATTACATATAAAACATCTTTCCCTTTTTTATTATGAGCCTGTAAAAATCAAAATATCTAGATCCTTTGCTTGCTGCAATTCTTGACATTGCAAAAGGTCTAGAGAACATGACCTATGAAGGAAGACTAAAAGAATTTAGCTTGTTTAGTTTGGAAAAGGGAAGACTGAGGGGGGACATGACAGCAGTTTTCAGGTATCTAAAAGGGTGCCACAAGGAGGAGGGAGAAAACTTGTTCTTCCTGGCCTCTGAAGATAGAACAAGAAGGAATGGTCTTAAACTGCAACAAGGGAGGTTTAGGTTGGACATTAGGAAAAAGTTCCTAACTGTCAGGGTGGTTAAACACTGGAATAAATTGCCTAGGGTGGTTGTGGAATCTCCATCTCTGGAGATATTTAAGAGCAGGTTAGATAAATGTCTATCAGGGCTGGTGTAGTTAGTACTGGGTCCTGCCATGAGGGCAGGGGTCTGGATTCGCTGACCTCTCAAGGTCCCTTCCAGTCCCAGTATTCTATGATTCTACATCAACCTCTCTTCCATTCTTCTCCTTTCTGTTTCTAACAATTCTCACACCTTACAGAGGATAGTTTCTCAAGCAACTATCCTTGAGATCCTTTCTTGTGGATCTTATTACTCGGTTAATAATAATAATCTTTACGTTTTCCCACATACCATCTGATCAGCTTTACAAAGTCATCTTCTGAACCTTGTCATTTAGTTTTTCAGTCTGCAAATAAGAAGTCACGGGCATCTCTAAATCTGTGATTCTCAGGTAATTCAGAAACACTACATGCTGTATCAGAAAAATAAAGCCTCACTTTATACCTTAAAAAAATTATTTGTTCACTTATTTTAAGATCTCTGTAATAAAGATTCCTCCCTCTGAAGGTCCTCAAATGCAGTGGTTCCAAGCTATGGCCAATGTGTCTGCTGTGGGACTTGGGAGAGCTGCTCACATAGTTCTAACTTTGCTCACCTTCATCTGCTAACTCATATTAAAGGGGAAGCATAAATTTACCTAACTCTCCATGTAAGCAGTTGCTGTCGTTGCCACAGGGGAGTTATACAGTGATGTCGATGAGAGTGGTGAAATGGTCTATGCGGCTCTTTAAGATGCATTCTATACCATGGAAACTTTAAGAACACCTGTACTGGGATATCTGGAAAAGCTTTATTTCATTCATGTAGTGCTGCAGATTTTCTTACTTTACTGACGTATTACAGTAATAACGTATCCAGAAATGTAAGGGTTGCAGTATTGCTATGCAGAAGACTGTAACTTTGTTTTTTCAGAAACTCCTCCATAACATCTTATTTCTCCCTATTTTGAATCTTTTTTTTTTCCTCCTTTCTGGAGGCATGTATCCTAACAACATCCAATAGCGCTTCCTAGATGATATCAATAATCTGCAGTACTCTATAGGTCAAACTACCACTTTACTAGAACTCATCTTTGGAGCACTAAATTAGAACTGAGGAACTCATTTCTTCATCTGATATGTGTGGAAGAATTGCTTATTCAAAAGGTCCTGGGAAGCCTATAGCTGACACTGTATATTCTGTTTTGTGGGTTTCCCTAGGTAAGATACACTTCAGCCAAAAGGAGATGAATCCTGAAAATATGTGTATTAAGAGCCTCAACATCCACATTCTTACTGCTGCATCCTTTGTGCTCTTGTCCCATTTGTCACTGAGACTTAAAAATTATGTCTTGATGCTAACATTGGAACCCTGCTCTGATTTATGTAAATAGAAGCCATTTCAGAATCATTAATTGTTTTAAATCGAAAACAAAATTAAATGTAATTTCAAAAGAAAAGAATCCCATTTTTACCCAGCCATGATAATTCAGATCTATTACTAGTGATATCTTGTATTCAGCATTGCTGCAGATTGTAACTGTCTTGCTATTGTGTGAAAGACACACTATTCCCCACCCCTGTATTTCCCATTGATACTTAAATTTCAGTATTCAGACTGCTGCAGAAGATAGAAGGAAAAGGTAGTAAATCCACATGTAGGTAGATTAACTCACTATAAAATTCACAACAGGTAAAAGCAATGAACAGTTATTGCCTTTTCATTAAATTTTTGTCTGTGCCAAAATTGTATGCTCTGCAATGTTCAGCTTTTGACCTGAAATAGTTAACTTAATTTTAAGTCTAGAAAGCATCCTTACACTTAATTTTGTATTGGATACTGTATCTTGCAATCAGTTTTTTTTAAATGTACATTAACAGTCTACCTAGTCTTCTATTAGTATACATGCAAAGGCAGACTTTTTTTTAACTTTGGTGCACTTTAAGTTAAAATAAAGGCATTATTAAAATAAAACTACAATTAACACTGACATTGTTGTGTGCCCATTTTGATTAATTGCCAAGAACTAGCATTACTCAGATGGGAAAGAAGAAAGAATGTTGTTCGTTCAACAGTAGGGAAGAATGGAGAGTTAAGAATAAGCATCTTTTGTACACCAGCACACTTTGAATGTCTGTTTGGTGCAAATTAGCTAGTTGCTGGTCTCTTTATTCCTACAACTACTGTAAATATTGTTTTTAGTACCATACCATAAATTAATCATGGCTTAATAATCTCTCTGGCTGCTCCTGAGATCTCAGGCTGCGTCTACACTGCAGGCTTCTTGTGAAAGAGCACGTCCACACTGCAAAAGCGCATTGGAAAAGCAATGCGCTTTTGTGCAAGAGAGTGTCCACACTGCATGGACTCTGTTTCCCAAGAAAGCTCTGATTGCCATTAACAAAATGGCCACCAGGGCACCTGTGCGTCTTTCAATAGGCTGTTTTTCCACCAAAAAACGGTTTCCCGTCCACCCACACGTTTTTGTGCAAGAGCTCTTGCTCAAAAAGGAGTTATTCCTCATAGAAAAAGGAATATGTATACTGCAAAAACCCCTCTGTTCTGTTGATTCACTGTACATTTTCTTGTGCAAAAACACGCTTGAAGTGTGGACACTCCACACTCAAGTAAAAAACTCTTCAGAGTAGACATAGCTTCAGTGATTCTCTTCTCAATACTCCACCCAGACAAAGCCCCAATATTTGGCAGCAGCCAAGGATTGCAAGCCACAGCCTGGGAGAAGCAAAGCAGAAGTAGCTTTAAGACCCCTTTGTGTTCTGCAGTCTTGGGCTGAGCTGTTTACCATCTAAGTGTCTGGCTGAAGTCACACTAAGGTTGATTGTCAGGAGTGGCTGAAACACAGGGATATGTCACTAGAGATTCCTTATTTTGGCATCTGGGAAAGGGTTGGCATATGATGGTTATGAGAGTTATTCAGCACCAAGGGACTCCCCACTGACATCTGTATATGGAAGTAAGTCTCCTATAGCTGGGTTTAGAATCCTTCGATACCAGCAATGCAGCCAAGGTTTGAAACCTAAATCAGCCTTTTGATGTGGGATTATCATGTGCCTGATGTAACCCCTCTTTTTAACTTCAGTAATAGCTGTCTTGCAGCTTTATTGTGGGCAGAGTCCAAATTGTTATCTGTATTCTTATGCCATTCACATCGCTGCATTGATTTAACCAAAAATAGGTTCCCAAACTGGAACCTGACTGAACATGTGTTGGTGCTCTTTCTCTGTTTCTAATTATTTAATTGCATTTAAAAAGCATATTTAAATTTCCTGATATTATTTTTCCATATCATCGCTTGCTGCTGCTGTCATGTAAACCCCATCTCTGCTAAAATGTTCTCCATCCTAACGGGCAAAAATTTTGGCAATTTTGTCTTAAACATTTGTCTATTTTTACTACTGCAATAAGAGTATATTTGACACTAAACATGCTGCTATTTCAGTTTTCAATAGCTATAATAAACTTCAGATGAAGAAGTGGGTTCTACCCACGACAGCTCATGATACCATTTACATATTTTGTTAGTCTTTAAAGTGTTACCAGACTATTTGTTGTTTTTTAAGTTTTGCTGTTATAGACTAAATCGGCTACCCCTCTGAAGCTATAATAAACTTGTAATTCGTTTTAAATATAATAAAATGCATTGCTGAAGTCCCTATTTTGAGCATCTTTCCATTTCAATTAAAATGGAATTGAAGCAAAAACTTAATTTTTTCTTGTAAATTTGGTTCGTAAATGAGAGAACTGCACTCTGTAGGGTGTGGGGGCCAGGTGGGAAGAGTTTGAAGCCAGAGTCTCTTAACTATTACTCTTGATTCATAAATCGTGGCTGTGTGCTAAAAAAAAACGAAGTAGAAAAGGTGAAGCTACTGTTCTACAAACGTGTTCTTAATAATTGCTCTTTCATTTGTCATGGCTTTTGCAGGCTAAACCATTCTTAAAGGGAAAGCAAGGATTCTTCATTTTTAATATAACAGTAGTTTTAAAATGTCTGTTCTTAAGAAGTTGATACTTGACCCTCATCTCTAAGGGTGTGTCTACACTGCATTCCTCTTTTGAGAGAGGACTGCAAAAGCAGGCAAACGAAGCACAGATTTGAATTTCCCACACTTCATTTGCATAATTGCGACCAGCCGCTTTTTCGAAATACCCTATTTCGAGATTAAAAAAATGCCATTTAGATGCAAAATGCAGGACAATGTAGCACTTTAAAGACTAACAAGATGGTTTATTAGATGATGAGCTTTCGTGGGCCAGACCCACTTCCTCAGACATTTCTATCACTATTTAGATGCAATTATTTCAAGAAAAAAACGTTCTTTCGAAATAACCCTTACTCCTTATAAAATTAGGTTTATTTCGAAAAAAGGGTTTTTTCTCGAAATAAGCAGTGAGGAATTCTGTGGCACCTTATAGACTAACCGAAGTGTTGGAGCATAAGCTTTCCTAGGCATAGATCCACTTTGTCAGATGCATGTAGTGGTAATTTCCAGAGGCAGGTATAAATATGCAGGCTAGAGATGATGAGGTGGACCCAATCAGGGAGGATGAGGCCACTTCTAGTAGCTGATCTGGAGGTGTGAATACCAAGAGAGGAGAAGCTGCTTTTGTAGTTAGCAAGCCATTCACAGTCTTTGTTTAATCCTGAGTTGATTGTGTCAAACTTGAAGATGAACTGTAACTCAGCAGTTTCTCTTTGAAATCTGGTCCTGAAGTTTTTTTGCTGCAGGATGGCTACCTTTAGATCTGCAATTGTGTGTCCAGGGAGAGTGAAGTGTTCCCCTACAGGTTTTTGTATAGTGCCATTCCTAATATCTGATTTGTGTCCATTTATTCTTTTACATAGGGACTGTCTAGTTTGGCTGATGTATATAGCAGAGGGGCATTGTTGACACATGATGGCGTATATTACGTTAGTAGATGTGCAGGAGAATAAACCAGTGACAGTATGGCTGATCTGGTTAGGTCCTGTGATGGGGTTGCTGGGGTATATATGTGGGCAGAGTTGGCACCGAGGTTTGTTGCATGGATTGGTTCCTGAGTTAGAGATATAATGGTGCGGTATATAGTTGCTGGTAAGAATATGCTCCAGGTTGGCGGGTTGTCTGTGGGTGAGGACTGGCCTGCCTCCCAAGGCCTGTGAAAGTGAGGGATAATTGTCCAGGATGGGTTGTAGATCACTAATGATGCGTTGGAAAGGTTTAGGTGAGGACTGTAGGTGATGGTCAGTGGTGTTCTGTTGGTTTCTTTCTTGGGCTTGTCCCGTAGCAGGAGGCTTCTGGGTACACGTCTGGCTCTGTTAATCTGTCTCCCCACTTCCTCGTGTGGGTATCTTAGTTTACAGAATGCTTGTTGAAGATCTTGTAGGTGTTGGTCTCTGTCTGAGGGGTTGGAGCATATGCGGTTGTACCTCAGTGCTTGGCTGTAAACAATGGATCACGTGGTGTGTCCGGGATG